TCAGCGCATCAGCGAGCTAGAGAGGAACGTGGAAGAACTGAAGCGGAAGGCAGCCCAGAACTCTGGGGAGGCAGAATATATTGAAAAAGTGGTGTACACGGTGAAACAAAGCGCAGATGACGTTAAAAAGGTAAGAAAGCTTTGTAACTTCACAACTGTGTTCATAAAGGAGCAACGGTCTCCTCGTTGCCTTCCTTGGAACCAGTAAGGGACACGGACCCAACAGCTATTCATCAGAAATATCCCCAGTGACCCGTTTTGAAATAGCAGTCATTAGAGACCCAGATGGAAAAGAGTGGGAGTGGAAAGGAAGGTGTCCAAGAAGCGTGACCTAAGCCCTCATAGCCAGACTTGGAGAAGGAGGCAAAAAATGAAATTAGGGGCGGAAGTCTTAAAACAAATACACAGAGCTTATACTTTGCTAATTCAATTAGGAAGGCCTTTATGGCATACGGTAATTACTTGGCCATTTGAGAAGTCTTGAAAAGCAGGGTAGAAAAAGCTTAAGGCGTCTGTCACAGAACCGCTAGCAGGAACTAAATCTCACATCTTCTACACTCACTCTGAATTAACCACCCCTTCCTTCTCACTGGAAGGTACTATGTTTTGCAGAGAAAATCTCATACAACCCAAATTTTTCACTAGAAGCCACGTAATCATTAAAACATATGTTCAGCGGGCAAATGTTTATCTCCAAAGAAACCTTTTTACACTTTTGAGGGGAATGTGTCAACTGTTAAATGAACAGTAGGGAGTTATAAATGGAAATTTAGTCAAGATTTTTCCTTGAGGTTAATGTAGCTTTTAGGCATTACAGAAGGGTGACCTCCTTCCACCTCTGGTTGGGGAAGAGAACAAAACGGGAAGAAAAGTGCACTACCCTGTCCGTTTTTTCTGTTGTGGTTTTTTCTTTCTCGTGGTTCTGAGAGCATACGTCGCCCAAGTAGTCTTTTTACAGAGCATTTTTTCCCAAAAACACATCATTTGATTACAGTAAGATGAACAAGACCCTGACCTTGAAATCCCTCTATCAATGGCTACTGTTTGAGCAGTGTTTCTCGAAAGCACCTGCAAGAAGCACCTTGTCAAACCCACACCAATTTCTCATCTCCTCACCATCCCTGCATATGCTACCATCTCCTCTTTCTTTTCTTCCTTCCCTTAAATCTCTACACATCCTACACTAGTCACAATCCAGATGGTCCTCCTGTTTGGCTCTTCAAATGGGCCTTTTCTGATATCTAAAGGTTTGGATCACAGCAAACTTACTTTACAGAAAACCTACTTTTTTACCTCTGTATAATTATCTTGTGACGTCTCCAGAGAAAAGTGCTGAAAAGATAAAGGCTTAGCCCTGGAGACCTGCTACAACTCCCAAAATGTCTTTCAAATCCTTCATTTAAAAAAAACTCGTATGTCAGTGTTGTATTTAATTCCACTGTTTCAGAATATTTAATTATTATTTACACCGAATGGTTTAACGCCCGAGTACCCTTCTGAGCTTGCCACAAGGACACTCTTAGTGTCAGAGATTACATGTGTCCTCTCTACTTGGAACTACAGGCTCTGGACGGTGAAGTTGATGAGAAGTATAAGAAGGTAGAAAAATTAATTGCCAAAAAAACCGAAGAATCAGCAGATGCCAGAAGGAAAGCTGAAATGCTACAAAATGAAGCAAAAACACTTCTGGCTCAAGCAAACAGCAAGCTGCAACTCCTGAAAGGTGGGTCTTAGGCTCGTGCTTTCATAAGGTATTTTAAAATTAAGACCTCCGTGGAGTTTATTTAAAAGGTTGAAAATCTGTTCACTTTGTCTTGGGCCTTATAGGCAGAAAGGATCAGTAGGAGATGGAGATCCTAGTATAATTTGCTCAGACTTTTTTTTTTATCTCCCACAGATTTAGAAAGAACATATGAGGACAATCAAAAATATTTAGAAGATAAAGCTCAAGAATTAGTAAGACTGGAAGGAGAGGTGCGTTCGCTCCTAAAGGATATAAGCCAGAAAGTTGCTGTTTATAGCACCTGCTTGTAACGGAGGAGGAGGAGGAGGAAGGGCTCGAAGGTGGCCAAGGTGACCAAAGTAACAGAGCTCCATTTAAAAAACTGACTTCATGATCTTCAAAATACAGCTCCTTACCTATTTAATGTTTTTAATCACCACATTTTGTACGGAGTTAAATAAAGTACAGTCCTTTTGTAAAAATTTATATTTAGGATAATTCTTTTTTTTTTCTTTTTTTAAAGATTTTATTTATTTATTTGACAGAGACACAGCTAGAGAGGGAACACAGCAGGGGGAGTGGGAGAGGGAGAAGCAGGCTTCCCGCCGAGCAGAGAGCCCGATATGGGGCTCGATCCCAGGACTCCAGGATCATGACCTGAGCCGAAGGCAGACGCTTAACGACTGAGCCACCCAGGCGCCCCTAGGATAATTCTTAAATTTTACTTTTATTCAGTGTTTGTGAATCCCTTGAAGCTAGGATCTTTTCAATGTAAAATGGTTTTATAAACAAACTGCCTTCACGGGACCCTGATTTCTGTTTTGTCTATAAACAAGCGATCATCTTTTTGCTAGGTCAGTATCCTCCACACATCTGCCCCCCGGACCACCTCCCAGTGGGGTGCCCAGGCAGAGGGGAGGGGAAGTCATACAGCCTGAACCCCCTTCACCATTTCAGTGGCAGCTCAGTTGCTCCAATCTCCAAAACTCCTCTAAATACTCCTTGCTCTGAGAAAGAGAACAAAAAGCAATTTTTAGAAAATCAGGCGGGTAAACTGACTTTTAAGTGTGAGCAATCCTGGCCCTATGCTGGGTGGTGGGGGGGAGGGGGGAGGTTGAAATGAAATCCAGCCGGAGTTTAGGAACACTGCTCCTGCCAACTAAGCAGTGCCAATCACAGTATAAAGTGCTGTAACTTCTCAGTGTTTCCATTGTACTTTATTAGATTTCACAAACTAAAAGATTCTCTGCTACAGTCTGTATGCGAGGCCAAAACAATCACAGAACAATCACTTATTCCACAGGATAAAGAAAACAGTTGAATTCCAACTGCCAAACCCATGTCAACCTCAGAGCTGAGCTGGAGAACAGGCCAAGCAAGGCCTAAGTGGTCTTTTCACAAATTCCTATTAGAGCAAGACAAGTTCTGTGTAGCACTGAACCATCATCCACACCTACAACACAGCTGCATTTGAAGCTGGGCCTGAACCGAAGTTATGTAAACAGATGTAATATAAACAATAAGGCAACCTCCCTCTCCTTCAAGGCAATTACTTGTCACTTTTATTTAGGTAGAGAGCCTACTGCCCAGCAAATTGGTTTTACCTCATCATCTGCTACAGCAACTAATTTTTTTCCCTTAATCTTAAGTATTTCACTTAAAATAGAAATCCTTACCTGTACCCACTCCTTTTTAGCTAAACAACTCAAGATGTCACTTTGAAATCACTCATTTTCATCAGCTCAGGGAACTGGACAGCTAATTCCCACCCTTCACAAGCCAAGAAAATACTAAGAACTTAGTAAATAAGTAAACATTTAAATCTGTTTTATACCCACAACTTCATTCCCACCTAGACAGAACTATTTTGTGTGTTTCTATAGCCAGGACTTCATATTAAACTCTATTTCTCACTATTTTTTTTTCCCTAGAGTAGGGGACATGTCTGGAGTTTAAATAAGCTAGCACTTCACAGAATATCGGGATTTCAGATTTTAAAACACAGAGGTCATTTCCAATAATGGCCAAGTAGCACATGTCAGGCCAGCCCTCCTGCTAATAACTACTGCAAACTGAACAAAATAGATATTTTTTAAAGTAAAGGTCCTGGAGAGGGGAGTTGACAGAGAACAGCACTGGGTGAAACTTCCATTGTTAATGGCTTTTCACCTGAGGGCAGGTCCCAGCCAAGTATGACATCGGGGGGAAGCCAAGTTTTACTGGTTAAGGAATTGAAGGACTGAGTCAGGGGCAACTGGAATAACTAATACATGGGGGGGGGGGGGGGCTCCCAACTCTGCTATCATTTGCCCAGTGTCCGGCTGAGCTATGCACTACACACGCACGGGACAGACGCAACGCAGCCGAGGTAGAGCTCAAACAACGGGGTAGATGTTTCAGCTGCTGCCCCCCAGCAAAGACAATGCAGTTGGGGTTCAGCCAAGTTAACTGCCCACTGAAACAGAAAGTCCCTATTTTTCAGAGGTAGGTAAGAAAATCCAGAGTCTTTACAATGGATCATTCATAATAACTATAGTAGAGTCCAAGACTACTGGACATAGAAGAAGTTGCAATCAAGTGAGTATCTAGTTTGCATATTTCTAGTACTTTAAGTTTTTCCTTTTTAGAATATGCTATCCTAAATCTGATTCTTAAATTTAGTTAAAAAACGCAAAAGCCTATTTTAACATTTAATACTTTGTTACTGAAGTGTTCCAAGAGCTGGCCATTTTAAATATTAATCAACAGGGCGCCTGGGTGGCTCAGTTGGTTAAGCGACTGCCTTCGGCTCAGGTCATGATCCTGGAGTCCCGGGATCGAGTCCCGCATCGGGCTCCCTGCTCAGCAGGGAGTCTGCTTCTCCCTCTGACCCTCCCCTCTCTCATGCTCTATCTCATTCTCTCTCAAATAAATAAATAAATAAAACCTTTTTAAAAAAAATAATAAATAAATAAATAAATATTAATCAACAAATATGATTTTATAGCACTCTTTAAAGAAATAGTCATTTACCCAGCCACAGATACACTGGAAATCCAAAGACAGCAGATTAAATTTTCCCATATGCTGTGTCTCCAAAAGTGTATGCTCCAGTTAGTTGGTAATACTAAAACAGATGAAAGGGTAATGACCTTTTAAATGCCTTAACGTTGTCCCCCAGTGTGGTAAAAAGATAGATCCAGGCCTAGAAGAGGAATAATAAACAGAAATAAGAATATACACTATAGGTAGTCATAAAAGAACTAGGACCATCTTGACATCCACTCAAAACAACCAGTACATGAATATTTAGGACTGTTTATTTCTGTATTTTCATTCCCCGCTGTAATACATTTACATCTTCATTTAATATTTGAATTTCACAGATACACCTCCTTAATTTGGTTAACTGTAGACCTCAATGGGTCCTTAAAAATTTAAACATAAATTCTACCTCTAAACTGCAAGAATTTGGGGATTAAATAAGTGAGAGATCATCGTTGTATTTACATCAGTTTGGTTTATACATATTTTAATCTTAATTCTAATGACTGTTTCCAATATGAAAACCAAGTTTAAAATAACTTGATCACCTTGCTTCAAACACAGCTGGCTCACATACCTACGCCAGCTCCATCCATGTAAGTAAATCAACTTTACAATAGCAGAGATAAAAGCTAAGAAACATAAATTTAGTGAAGTCGAATCTTTCAGAAACTGCATGAAAAATTTTCCTGGATGCTACTATAAAAGTAGCTTTTTTCTGCAATATTAATGCACTGAAACAAAGTATTAAATTTATTTAAAATAGACGAGATTATTCCATTCTGTCCGAACCTATTAAAACCTTCCAAAAGTTTCATAATTCAGTCCTAGAAATTCTTGGAGCTGTGAGCATTTCCTGTTCAGAAATGTGACCTCCACAAAAGCTCCCAGGAAATTTCAGAAAAATATAATCTTCTAATTTAAAAGTTGATTGATTTGCCGAATGATGCAGCCAGGTTTGCTTCTCTAAAAGCTTCTGATAAGGTCTGTAAGGGAAGAAATTTAAAATTAGAAACCAAATATTTGTGGGTGAGAAGAAACCTGAGGTAACCATTAATTCTGTATGCTGTCGATAATTACCGGATGCGCATGGCAGACTCTGGCTATATCTTCACAGGATGCTCCGTACTCCAGCGCGAGAGCGGCTTCATTCACCATTTCACCAGCACCCTTTAAATAACAGACCAAGAAGTCATTTTCTTCCCATGGCAAAAACTACAAGCTAACAGGATTCGCTGTTAGAGCAGTTAACTAACTGCCTCCAGTCAGGAAAAGCTTAACAGGAAAGGTGGCACAGAAGACAAGAGCTTAGGCTCTGGAGCCAGCTGGCCTGGATTCAAATCCTACTGCGGAGTCCCTCTGAGCACTCACTTTGTGTGAGTCATTCCATTTAGTCACTTCAAAAATGGGCAGAGCAACTCCTGCCCCCCAGAATTGTGAACATTAAGTTACTGCATGTATACAGAAAAATGTATTACAGACTAAGGACTCCAGTGTTTCATCATCATCATTACAGCAGATTCCGAGGGGAAGTGTGTACTTCAGGGTCAGTGGTAGGAAGGGCTTCTCTTAGGAGGTAACATCTGAGCTGAGACCTCACAGGAGCCAGTCATGCAAACACCTGGAGGCACAGCATTCCAAGCTACGGGTTCCACAAGCACAAAGGCTCTAAAATGGGAACACTGGCCTGTTAGGAAACTGAGAGAAGGCCCATGAGACAGGGAATTAACGAGTGAAAGGGAAGGGTGGGAAGACATGAGGTCAGGAAGGCAGACAGGCCCAGAGTTAGCGGGGCCTTGTACCTAACAGCCCGAGGCGGAAAAGGGCCACTGCCGAGTTTTCAGCAGGCCCAGGGCCCGGGGCCCAGGGCAGGTCTCAAGAGGATACTGTCAGTTGCGGTGCGGAAAGCAGATGATGTGACAGGCCAGAGTGTGAGAGTGTCGCCGGTCGCTGTCAGAAACAGCACACAAGCTGCTGGTAATTAATAACCTCGGCATGTAAACAGCAGCGCTTTCCAGAAATCGTAATGGGATTTGGGATTTGGGGATACTCACTGGTCCTAGAATATGTGCTCCCAACACCCTGTCTGTTGATTTCTGTCCCAGAATCTTCACCATGCCATCTGTGTCCGCATTTGTCTTAGCTCTGCTGTTAGCAGCAAAGGGGAATTTCCCAACCTTGTACTCAATACCCTGCGAGAGACAGAAAATGAGAGCCTACATAAACTCTGAAAAAATGCATTCCTGTTGGCGCAGTCATCTACCACTGGTTCAGAAAATAAACCCCAAGAAGGCAATTCTTCGGAGTCTACTGAGGGCAAGACCAGAACTGACTGTCTGCTAATGAAATACATTTTGGGTACAAGCACAAGCAAATGCAAATGTCAGTCTATCTGGGTACATTTCAAAGAAAAATGTAAGAGCTCTGGAATTACTAGTTTGAAGGCAGGCAAGTGAATGATCTCCTCTATGCCACCAACAAAGGAAAAAATATATAAACTATAATGTTCTACATAATCTCCAAATGCATTAATACGATAAGAAAAGGATTCTCAACCACCAGTGTCATTAACTCAATTCACACGATGGCATTAAAACTACCCCCACATTCAGAATTACCTCTTCTTTCAACTGCTCTTCTGATTTGCCGACCCAAGCAACTTCCGGGTGTGTGTAGATCACGGACGGTACACAGTTGTAGTCAATGTGCACAGCGCCCCCGGCCATTCCTTCAACACAGATAATGCCTTCGTCCTCTGCTTTATGAGCCAGCATTGGACCGGCAACCACGTCACCGATCGCGTAGATACTGCCACAGAGATCAAAGAACAGTCAGCTTCTGCCACCACATCTGCTCCTCTTCATTAGGCCATGGTGACAGAAGTTTCTAGTTACTAAGTAACCAAAAAATATATGAAGTACACATCTGTGAGTTCAGGGTCTCGTCTCTGGGTAATGGAAACATTCAATTATTTTTGTTTTTACATATGAGTTTACTCTTCTTCCCCAAAGCCAGTGCATTTTTTAAGCATGACAAAGGTCTTATTTTTAAAATAAATTTTTAAACTTTTGAAAATGCAAATAATTATCCAACTTACTTTGGAATTTTAGTCTGGAATCTGGTATTGACTGGAATTCTACCTCTAGGATCTAATTCGATTCCAAGCTCTTCCAGTCCCAAGTTCTGAGTAAAGGGTCGTCGTCCAATACAAACCAAGAGTACATCACACGTGATAACTTCGGCTTTCCCACCAGAAGCACCTTCAACACTAGAGGACAAGCAGTGTGTGACTGTTAAACACACATCGACAGAAACAGCTGAGACTGAGAAATGGAAGACCAGATGTTTCTCGAGTGCTGCTGACACTTCTAACAAACCGGAGTCAGGCAACGAAAACATGTACAAATCCTCTAGAGGTCTATTGTTCAAACTGCACACAAACAGGTAGGAGAGCACAGGGTGAGAACATAGGACTTAGAGTCAGAAAGATCAAGTAATGGCTCCAAAGTGCCAGGCACACAGTAAGCAATCTAATATTATTACTGATTTCCCCAGATATATCTAAAAATACTGAGTTTTACTGAACGTTGAGAGTTTAAGTATTTCTGAACGTACACTATGAGAAAGCCCATTAGAGTGAGAACAGTGGATTAAGTTTCCTAGCATCAACTTAATCATGAATTTCATTGGACCAATTTAATAAGCAATACGGAGTTACATTAAGCAATAAAATGGCCCTAAATCTGATTCTGAAAAAAGGAGTGTTTTCCTTAAGCACACAGATAAAGATATGATATCAACACCAAATGGAGCATACTTACGAAACATCAATTTTTCCATCTGACTTCTTGGTAGCACCAGTAACTTTTGTATTCAATTTAAATTTAAATCCTTGTTTTTGAAGGATGCGTTGAAAGTTCTTAGATATCTCCATATCAATTCCAACTCCACCAACATGACCTAAAAACTCAACTGCTGTCACATCTGCACCAAGTCTTTGCCAAACTGAACCCTGTAGATAATTTTTAAAAATCACAAAAATAAAAACAGATGTTTCTAGAGCAAATCTTTACTGAAGCATCGTAAATAATCTCTTGTCAGATACTCTCTTTTGTTAGTATGTCCCTATCAGAAGCTCTAAAGTTTAAAATGAACACCCTGGCAAATAAATACATTTCATGTATTTCACATATTAATCTGTTCATTCCTTCAACATTTATTGAGCACCTACTACATGCCAGACACACATCAGCGAACAAAATGCTGCCCCCAGGGAGCTTATATTCTGGTAGAGGAGGCAGATTAAGTAAAATTCACACAGAGGACAGTAAAGTGCTCTGAGGAAAATAAATCAGGAAGCAGAACCAGGACTGCTGGAAGGAGTAAGGCTGTAATTTTAAAGAGCATGGTCATCAGGGAAAGCTTCACTGGACTGACATGTGCACAACCAGAGGGAATGAGCTACACGGGAATTGGTCCAGGAAGAGGGGAACAAGGGGGAAAGAAGGTCCTGAAGGAGAAGGAGAAGGTCCTCGGACTCCTACTAATTACTGGTATTTGTAAAATATTAAACTGGCTTCATATTTTATTTTCTCAACAGAAAATAAAATGTTTACTTTTTTATTCAAATTAAAATTTAAACTGAATGCTGGTTTTTAACAATATTTTAAACAATTAAAATGTTTGGATGCCTATTTATGAGATAGGTAAGATGAATATAATTTTACAGCATTAAATAAAATATGAAAAACAGTGAACATATCCTTTTCAAGAATTTGTATTAAAATCATCTGGTAATTTAAAATAAAAGGTTTACCTTTCCAATTAGGGTTATGCATTCATTTTTAAAATTTCCAGAATTTTTGGAATGAGAGCGGAGTTAACTAAAGGCAATACAGTGACACTAAAAATCCAATCACAAGCTTATGCAAAAATTAACTCAAAACGAATGACGGACCTTATTGTAAAACCCAAGACTATAAAACTTACGGACAAAAACATAGGAAAGAACCTTTGTGACCCTGGGTTAGGGTCACACAACACCAGAAGCACACCCATGAAAGAAAAAAAAAAAAAATGAGACTACATCAAAATTAAAAACTTCTCTTCTAAAGCTAATATTAAGAATAGAGACAGAGAAGCCACAGACGGCGAAAAAAATACTTGCAAAACATCTTTATGATAAAGGATTTATATCCTTTGCACAAAGATCTCTCAAAATTAAATAGCAAATCCAATAAAAAATCAGACAAAATAGTTAAAGAGGTACGTCACAAAAGACAATGCAGAGATGGAAAATAAGCACATTAAGAAGATGCTCCACATTACAAGTCACTAGAGAAACACAAATTAAAACACCCAGGAGCTACGTCTACACACCTGTGAAAATGGCTCAAATCAAAGCACCACTGCTACTCGTGGGAGGACACACAGAGCTCCTCAAAAGGAGAACTACCATTTGCCCCAACAATTCCACTCCTAGGTTCACACACAAGGGAAAAGAAAACAGATGTCCAGACAGAAACCTGTACACAAACGTTCACAGCAGTGTTGTTCATAAGAGTCCCAAAGTGGAAACCAGCCAAGTGTCCATCAACGGATGAATGGAGAAACAAAATGTACTCTAGCCACAGAATGGAGTATTTGGCCCTGAAGAGTTACGAAGCATACGTGAACCCTGAGAATATGATGCCAAGTGAAGAAGCCAGAGACATAAAGGCCACATATTGTATGAATCCCGCGTATGTGAAAAGTCCAAAATAGGCAATTCCACCATCCCAGAAAGTAGGTTAGTGGTTTCCAGGGCCTGGGAGAAGGGAGGAATGTAGAGTCACTGCCAGTGGACGTGGGGTTTCTTTCCGAGATGACGAAAATGCTCTGGAAAGAGGATCGTGCTGACAACTGCACAACTCTGTGAACATACTAAAAAAACATCACTGGACTGTACACTTTATTTAAATGGATGAAGGATATAGGAACTGCATCTCAATGAAGGTGTTAAAAATACACTCCTCTGAACCTAAATTACAAAGTAATAAATAGTAAGAGTATATCAAGTCAACATTGTACGCCTGAAACTAATAATATATTCAACTATACTTCAACAAAAAAAAAGAATAAAAAAAGAACATGTGGTATACATACACAGGAATATTATTCAGCCACAAAAAAGAACAAAATCATGACATTTTCAACAACAACAAAAAGAAATAGTAAGAAAGTGGGAAATGGTAAGAAGCATCATCTTGAATTCAAAGGAGGGAATAATGAACACAGAGAGCTGGACAAATGCCTTCCTCTTAGGAAAACGGATTTCAAAATCCTAAGAAATAGGAAAACTCTAATAGTACCTACCAGATATTAGACGTCAGGCACTGTGTTAGAGCTTATTAGCTGCCAGACACTGGGTTAAGTGTTTTATCTATATTACCTTACTAAATCTCAACAATAGTCCTATAAGGCAGTTCCTCTTATTAAAATGGGGACTTTTATGATGAATCAACTAGTTCAGAGAAGCTCATTCATTTAACAACAAGCACATAAGTCATTAAGAAGCAGAGCTGAAATTCAAATTTGAAACCTGATTCTAAAACCTATATTCTTAAGCACTACATTAAACTGGAATGGAAAAAGGTAAACTATGAAAAAATAAAAAGTCACATGAATAATCTTTATGAGAAATTTAAGAGAGAAGTATGACTACCTGGTAAGTTATCTCTAATAAGTTTAAATTTTTTTTTTTCCAAAGATTTTTTTATTGATTCATTTGAGACACAGAGATACAAAGAGAGAGCATGAGCAGAGGGAGAGAGAGAAGCAGTCTCCCCGCTGAGCAGGGAGCCCGATGCGGGGCTCGATCCCAGGACGCTGGGATCATGACCTGAGCCGAAGGCAGATGCTTAACCATCTGAGCCACCCAGGCGCCCCTAATAAGTTTAAATTTTTAAAAAGACATTTGTAAAAACATTCAATATAGAAAGAGACACCTAAAATATTAAAACGTTTAAAATGACCCAATGCTTATAAAAATACCCTAAGGCAAAAGTGCTGAAATGAAAGAAAGAGAATTATTGCTTCAGGTTATTATTATTATACTTACCAACAGAAGAAAGTAAATCTATGTTATTCCTTTTTCTTGCTCATTTTATCCACCCATGAGAACAACTTTCAAAGTGGAATGAATGGAGGAAATATTAAGCAAGATAAGAAAACTAGTCATTTTTGATAAGTTAACTCTCCAATCTAACAAATCTGATCATAATTTGATGATAGAGACACTGTCAGTCAGTGAATTCTGGGAACTTAATTAGCATAAGGGAACTGTCAAATGGTGCCAGACAGACAATAAATATATTGCCTAAAATTTTCAAAAGTGAAAAGAACAGATTCTGGAAAATTGATTTTGAAACGTGGAACAGAGGTCAAGCCCTGCTAAATACGTGAAGAGATGATTAAACAGCTGGTTTGGTAATCATCAGATACTACAAGTATTCCAAATAAGTCATGTAAACTGATCTTTTCTGGACTGGACAATAATGTAGGATCTTTTTATTATCAGCAAAGTCTTCAAAAAAAAAAAAAGAAAATTTCACATCCCTTAGATGTGATACATCAGTGGAGATTCAAATACATTTTATAAACAGGTTAAAGACTGTAGAGTCAGATAGCTTTCAATACTTCATACTGCTGTGAAGGACACCAGAGACCGTTTCATTAATCGATTTAGGTAAGATCAGATGATAGGCCACATGCCTTAGTTTAACATGCTTCCCAGATTTGTGAATTACACATGGCAAGAAAAAGCAGTTAAGTGTAAGGATGGCCGAATCAAGACAAAGGAAAAGCATGGAATAACAGGTATAAGTGAGCATCAGATTAAAGCAAGGATAAAGGTTCAAAATCCTTTATTTAGGTTTATTTATTTAAATTTAGGCTTAAAAACTCAAAATTCCTCAAGCAAAAGATGTGAATTTTTCAACTGACTATAAACTCGATACGTGCTTTGAAGAAGAAAAAATAATTAAATTGATCCTAAGGAATTATATTAAACGAAGTAGATTACATATCAAAAACAAGTTCTCTCAATTATCCAGAGTATCATGCTTAGTTCTGAACACCATTTCCAAGTGATCCTGATAGACGAGACCAGGATCAGAAGGATGACGACAAAGTAACGATCCGGGATCTACAAGCCCTGTGTAAGCAGCATTAAGGAAAGCAACAGAAATTCGAATATGAATGACACTCAGTCCTTGCCTTCAAGGAGCTTATGGTCCTGTAGGAAAGGCAGACATAAACAAATGCAATATACTATTAACTAACAGGCGATACAAAGATGCAGACGTATCATACTCAAGACTCAAAGAAAGACTTGTACCTTCTCAGAAAAAAAGAAGTCTGGGCTAAAAAAGTAACTTCTAAGCTGACTTCTGAAAGGTATTAACACGTTTACTCGGCAGTAATAATAAAAGCTAACACGTGACTACTTGTTATGTATCAGCCACCGTGCTATGTGCTAAAGATGCACAGTCGATGAAACAGCCATGACCTCTGACCTCAGGCAGTGGATGATTTAATGAAAGAGAGACAAGTGAACAAGAAAGATCAGTAAAATGAGATAAATACTGTAGCAAGTTACAGGTGCAATGGGACACTCAGCAAGAGTACCTAAGGGCATGTAGGGTTGTCAGGGAAGGCTCTGAGAGTAGCAACTAGGAGAGGGAAGCATGTTCCAAACAGAAGGCCTACAGATAAGAGAAAGAATGCAGCTTGTTCGGAAACTGGTATTTCACTGTACCTGGAACGTAGTTTGAGAGGGAGAAGGGCTAGAAATGAGGCTGGAGATTTGAGCCAGGGCCACATCATGCTGGCCTTTCAACAACATTGAAGATTTTGAATTTATCCACTAGTTATTGAAGGATTTTTAGCAGGGAAGGGACAGGATTACATTCTTGTTATAGGAGAGGACTTCAGCCACTCTGGGGAGATTAGATTAGAAAAAGATGAAAAAAG